GAGGCAACAAGCCTATGTTCATGCTCGACTGCGCATTAAGCTTACCTTCGCGATCTTTGGATTCACCCACATCACTGAGCAGAATGATAAGGCGTGATCCCTAAGGGCCTTAAGGCCCCGACATAGACCTTCAACTCCTGAGCAAGACATGCGTGCTGGATCATGCTTGAGAGCACAGGCAGTGCTAGAATGCAGAATCGCACAACACAGCTTGCGGTTGCGGAGCTGTAGCGCACAAGGAAGGGATTCATAGCATCCTCCTGGAAGAGAGTCTGAGTCACGCACGCAGAAAATAAGATTCGCTGCTAATTAGCTTGGTCCTGGGTCCTACAGTGGGCATTTGCTGGGCTCCGACAGGAGGTGCTGCTAACGACATTCTGGGCTAGTCTCACCGTCTCTTGTGCATCGGATCATCCCAGCGTTGTCAGTCTATACAAGCACGTTTGGCAAAGGGCAAGGACGCGCCACGGAACATCAGACTTGTTCACGAGTTCAGTTGCACATGGCGCACTACACGGCAGCACGACAGCCATCCAGCTGCACTATGCTACATGGCTGCTGCATATTTGAATAAGCAAACTGTCAGCATCTCGTGACAAGTCTTGTTTACAGGCAGCGCTTTCCAATGACAGGGCTCGTCACAAGCGGAGCAGAGCGCTGGATGTGACATTCTGCACGGCACTTCTCGAAGCTGGAATAGTCTCACCACATTGCCAGCGTCGTTGGCACAACAGAACATAAGAATGTTGCTAAAGAGAGGGCTGTCGCGGCCGTGGTCGTTATTTTGATTCCGAAACCTCGGCGCTCAACTCCCTGCACACAGCTTGGGCGGTGCCCTCACATACAAGCATAAGTAATGCATAAGCGAATTCTTGAAGTGCGAGACGACAAGCGCACGGGCAAATGCAGGGTGCAACAAGTTGAAGAGGCTTGTTGCCACCATCGCTGCCGGCAGCTCATCCTTCCTACATCTTCTTATGCCATGTGCCCATGTGGCGCATTTCGGGAATGAGGCAAGGGATGAAACGTGGCGAAACCTGCCTGCAGCCATGGGGTAAATCTAGCAATGCCTCATAATGCCTCGACGACGGTAGGAGCCTGGAAAGCTGAAACCGGTCGGGGCAACCCGTCGCCCACAATAGAATCTGCGAAGTGAATTACGAAGCTTCTCTTGCCCTCGTTCTAAAGGTACTAGGATGACTAGCGCTTTAACTTTAACACAAGCTACATCAAGTGTGCAAGAGCCATGACTCTGCATTCGGGACAGTTCCCCGGGACGTTCACACAGTCTTTCCGCTACCACGGTCCGGGCCTCAGTTTGCAAGGACACGACTCAGTGCACTTTAGTGCACCCATGGTTCTGGCGCTAGAACTGCCGACGCAGCGGATCGCCCCGACAGAACTCGCCCTGATCCATGCTAGAAAAGGTACAGATGTATCGCTGAATTCACAGGAGCAGAAAATGCGCACCTTGTGCTGCATCAAACTCGATCAAACTGTCTCCGTCGGAACATAGGGACGAGGCAACACATCGCATCAAAAACATTCAAAACACATCGAATTGGCGAAGTGCGCGATTTGAAGCGGTGGTCTACTGCGACAAGCTGGAACACACTACAGCAAAACCAGTGGAAACCGCAAATTGCTCAATGTCAGCAGCGCTTAGCAGGAGGTCAACATAGGCTTCTCCGAACGAGTGAGCTAGCTTGGCTCTAGTGACACCGTCTGCCGGCTCAAGCTCGGGCCGTCATACCACCAGGTCAGCTAAGCCACATCCGGAATGGCCGCAATGCCGACATCCGCTATGCCTCAAATAGTACAGTATCAGATGCCCGCTTGCGGCTTGCGGCGCGTGCACCGGCGCGAAACATTCATTTTGCATGGTTTATTTATGTATGCGCTTCGAACTGCTATTTCCTGAATCCTGCAGGGACTTAATTCTCCCTCTTCTGCACATGCAGACATTTGCGAACGACGCATTTGCTACTTCGCCTCCGTCAGGATGACGTTTGCCTGGCATGTGGTGCTGGGACATGCTCAGAGCATCGGCCCAAAAAATTCGCGGGATAAATTTCGACGACCTCAAGGTGCAGCGTCACTTGGAAAAACCATGGCTTTGTTCTAATCCGTGGTTCGGGGCACATGCACTGGACGAACTCACACTGCACCAACACCTTCCGAGGCCATCGCAACCTTTTGCGTAACTTGTTTAAGTTAAACAATCGGATTCCCCTTGTTCGCTCCAGTTCCCCCGTTTGATCCCGTTTGTTTGCTGGACCGCAGCCCATGTCATTTTTTGCCGCCCCTCCCCCAACTCTGGAATAAAAACCAGGAGGCCCTCCCAACAACGGCTTGAATAAAAACCAGGACCCGAAATACAATTTCGGCCTCTCGGTCCGCCCGGAACGGCTATCCTCTCTAGCCACCTGAAGCACTGACATCCTTTTGCAGTGGGGTAAGCCGTGCATGTACTGGAACAAGACACCGTTCAGCACGCTTGTAAATCATCAAGATTTGAAACTTCTTTCTCTTGCATGAGCAAGCTGGCTGCACATGGACTACCAAGAAGTCACTACCATGTTCAATGTGACCGATGGCGGACCGAAATGACTGGCCTGTACTGTCCTGCCGTGCTTTCCGACTCACACTCGCATCCGCTAAGTTTCTCTTCTGCAGGACAACGAGTTTTGAGCCGTTGAACATCGTGCGATCATGTGAACCTACAGGTTGCAAAACTTGCAGCTACTGCGCACAGTGTTTTGCTTTGAGCCTCCCCCTTTACGCTGAGGCACAGGCACAAGGAATGCAAGGGCCGCAAGGGCCGTCTTGCAATCTCGCCTGGGGCCCGACACAACATCAAGTCAGTTCGGCATAATTCGTGCAAACAGAAGCAGCCCGTCGCACAAGTCATGACCGTTCCAAAAGACCTCTGTGTTCCGGCGAATTCTCGGCCGACATCGATGCGTGCCTGAGTTTTTCTGGGACAAGGAACACTTTGAAACTATTCTTGAAAGGCCCCCTAGCCTGGCCAAGTGCAGCCGTCAGTGCCGGCACGTCTATGTATTGCTACAAGGCAGTAGAGGCTGGAGCCACCTTCTGGCTTGTACAAATGGAGCCAACCGGACCACGAACAGCAGCAAGTCATAGTTTAGCCCGACCCGGCTCAGTTTCGAACGGCTCGCACTGCTCGCAAACGTTGGAGGCGATGGCCGGCGAGCTGCTGGCAGGGGAAAAGAGCATTTAAGCTTCAGCTTGGGCAGCCACTGATGTAGCTAAGCCAGGTGCGAGGTTGTTGGTGCAAAGGCACTGGAGCTTGAGTACCTGCTACCGTACAGACTGCAAACACCCACGCTGCAAAGACGTTCTCGCCGAACAACCTTTCTCTGCTGAGTTTAACCAAGTTTACAGAACTCCGTCCCAAGATGTCGCGGACACGAATGACGAAACTACAGCTGCTAGGACCCTAGGACTTTACAACTTACACCGCACAGTCAATGTCAACGTGTTCACGAGGAATGAAAAATCTGCATCCCACCGGCATGGATCAGGTGCAATGCCGCACGGAATGTGCAAAGCTTGTGCAGGGCTGAGGGCAATGTGCGTACTTCGCAGACATTTTAGCTCCTCATTGCCACCTCGTAAGTCGATGTCGGCTCAAGCTTCTCACTCAGACTCGGCCAATTCCGTTGCGAGCGTTTGACGGATGTCTTTGCTGGATGCACCAAAGCGGACCTCGATCTTCTGCTGAGCAACCTTCGCAGAGTCTTATATACATCACTTGAGTGCTGACAATTGCTATGTTTGGCGGTCGCTGCGCTGTCACCTTTTTACACATATCTCATCATGTCTCTGTCGTGACCTCAAAGATGTAATATGGTGTTGATTCTACTCTACCTACAAGTTGTTGCATCCGTGCTTCGGGGCGATGTGCGCCAGTTACCATGGCATACCATGGCAACTAGGCGGCTGCATCACACCTGATCCGAGATTCTCTAAAATCCCAAATGCAGGTAAGCTGCCCATCCACCTCAAGCTCAATCTATCTCTCGAGATTCAACAAGGTTGTAGAGTTGCATCAACTTGACCAAGGCACGTTCCGAGCAAAACAACTTCATGTCGCTAGCCGAAAAATCGAAGCGGACGGTCTGGGACTCACCTGGATGAAGAACCTGCGAGGTCACATAAACCCTGTCGAACTGTCTACTTGAGCGGGCCCTGAATGTATTATTCATCATGTCCGTCTTGAGTCTTGAAGCATCGCATGTCCCGGGCCCCGACAGTACCTGCAGCGTGCCCGTGTGCGACACTAACAGGGCAACGAAGGCAGAAACCGATGTGCTCAAACATGTCAAGGTGTCTCTCTGTGCCTGTCATTTCGAGCTTTCTGCAGTCTCCGTCCGCTTTGTTGTTTTTTCCCGCGAGTGCACTGTTTGCAAAAGTGGCTGCCAAAGCATACAGCGCCGTGGTGCTCTCGCGCATGGCGCTGACATTCTGGACTTATCTGGACTTGAACCCCCTGCAAGGCCAAAGTGCTTGGGAATCACATGAGAGTAATTGAAATTTTCAGGAGTCTGCAAATGTGCTCATGCCCCAGTCATTCCAGTGTTTCGCATCTTTTCGTGGTATACGGTATTCGCATGTTTTCCGTCCGCGTCGACCTCGAACTATTCCGCGGGGGTACCTCGCTGTCCACCCAAATGGACGACGTGCCATTCCCCAGGCCCGCTGAAATACTTCCGCGATTTGAAGCCCCAGGTTTGGGTGGTGGTGGTGGTGGTGGTGGGAGCACGGCTTGCAACCTCACATGTGATTAGACATTCTGGGGCGGATGCGCCCTACTCGCATGCATGCACGCACGCACAACAAAAGTAGCTTCCAAGGACAACTGCTTGCTTAAGCACACTCCAAAAGCCTTCGTCCGCCGGAAAGCTTTCAGCATAATATCCTCAGCTGTATCTTCGTGCGATCGTCACCGGGCAAGTCACAAGATCCCTACTCACTTATAGAGAGGGATGATGTATCGGACAGTGCTGCCCAAACGCAGGAGTTGCCTGGATCCACGCTTCCTCAGCTAGTGACGACCACAAGCTTTCGTGCAGGCGCTCCCCGTTGATTCACATCTGTTGCCGATAGTTTCTTTGGGAATCCGTTTGTCGACGGATCTCGCTCTGCATGGTATATGCGTGTCGGCAACAGGGATTGCGACAAACGCTCTTGTTGCTCGGTCCTTGCAGTTCACATCACTATTTCTGCATGCGCAGAGCAAGTTAGCCAGGGCTCATCTCCACCAACAGGGTCAGGGAAATGAACGTAGGCCTGCCGGTCATGCGATCCAAGATTTATCACCAATTGGCATATGGGGGCCTGCAAATCTCTTTACTAATATTGTGCGATCACGACCCATTGGGACCCGCCTGGACAAGCTCCTCACCGGACCTCTGCCCCACGTTCTTGACCAGGACTGCCACACACACTGCCACGCCACAGTCCTTGTGGAGACGATGTGGTCCTGAATACCTGGGATTCAAAACTGCACTTCATTGCAGTGTAGACAAAAGCTGGTTTCCGTCTCAGCAGCTCGAAGCTTGTGAAAGCCAAACCATGGCCGAAGGGAAACGCTGCCTGAGGAGGAGGAGGAGGTACCCGGATCACCCTGCTGCATTCTTTGTCTGATGGTAAGGCTGGTGCGCGAAATGTCGGGGACCTATAGGATGTGAGCAGGCCCTGCAGTCAGTGTCAGGAAAAAACACAATTCAAACGTAGATCAAAGCATGCCTGCAAAAAAGAACTGCAGTCCTCGGAATACACCACTTCTTCATCTTGCCCGACAGGAATGACATCAGCACTCGTCTCCGGCATCATGACCGGAAGTCTGCAGCTGCGCAATCGGAGGAGCTGAACGAGAATGACTACGGCTTTGGAGTGAGCGTTGACAAGGCAGTGCGCTGCGCTGCTCCTGCTTGATTTTCTGCTTCTAAGTGTTGTGTCTCGCTCGTGATTCCCCAGCGCATGCTCGACCGACCAAGTCCAGCAGGCCTGACGCTTTGGTTAGAGATCGTATTAGTAATAGCCCAAAGCGCGAGGCGCTCAGTTGACTCAAAAGCCCTCAACCAGGTGCTTCGACGGACTATCAGCTGGCAGCTCAGGAATCACCAACGACTTCGAAGCCCTTAACCAACGTCAGCCTCCCAATAATCCTAATAGCCTCGACAGCCGCCCTGGCCTTCCACGAGGGGCCGCATCCCCGAAGAGGACGCTGGCCCAGGCTGCACCAGTCCTCCAAAGCCAGGTCATGGCTTTTGCAGCACTCGCATCCGGCTACATTAACTTGTGCGACCCAGTTTCGCCACACCACCCATGAACTGGCAGGCTATGGCAGCAACCTGGGCTTTGCCACCGACTGCTATGCAAGTTTGCAGGTGGCCGGTATTGTCTGCGCGGCCTCTTCTCGCCACGGCATTAACACCTCAGCCGTCTACAAAAGGTTCTCCCACTTTCGATGCACAGAAGCATCTACCCGGTAGTCTACGACTGCAGCTCTTTCAAACCTTGTCTGCAGAATCGTGCATGCAAAATGCTGATCAAACGGCTGTCCGTTCCAAGAACCTTACCTGGGTAGTTGCATGGTACCATTCGCTGTCCCCGACACAGCTGTAGCATCATGTAGCACTCTTTTGCATCGCGCAGAGTTAGCTGGACTTGCTTGCATCATCATCCGAGGCATCCTCGCTGTCACTTGTGTCGGACTGCATCCCATTGGCCATGCCGTTGGGCGCCTTCCAGCACCTCTCAGAAGGGAGAAGTCCTCGCTACCAAGTTCTCAGCCGTATACATGCCTACATCCTCACAACTGGAAGTCCAAGTCACCGAAAAATCATCGTTCGGGCACTTGATTTCCAGGCCTTGGGCATGGCGGCATGTCGGGACACCGTTGCTTTGGAGAAATCTGGTTGCTTGTCTGATTCTTTGGCCCGGCCACGCAGTGAAGCAGCTCCATGCAACACAGACACGCCTCGGGCTGGGCGTGGACAAAAGCCTGGTGCACGAACACTTAAGCCCCAATCATAGCCAAAGCAAAGAAGTTGGCTACGGGTGGAAACGAGCGGGGGCTTTCCGACTCCGAGTCGGCGACGGCCAGACTCAGGAACACAAGCAAGCCAATCGTTTGTCCTTGCGAGAGGACACGGCGACTCAATCATACGGCTGCAGGATGCTGCAGGCCGGTGGCGGTGGTGTTGCGCAGTGTCAGAGTCCGGGAGAGCCGCCTCCTGCAAGGGCACCCATTACTCGGGGTGACGCATCAAAAAAATGATAAGCATCTAAAAAAGCTTACCATGGTAGCCATCAAAAACAATGGATAAGCATCTTCAACAATTTTGATAAGAGGGTTTAGGGTTTAGACGGTAGCCATCAAAAAAATTGATAGGCATCAAGCAAAAATTGGCATGGAGGGTTTAGAATGTTTTAGGGTGTTTATCATTCTTTTAAGCATTTTGTTTAGATGCTTTTGAATTGTTTTTGATGCCTATGCCCCATTACTTTAAACTCAGAGAATCATATGATGGGGTGCTCATGACTTCAGAACCAGAGCTCGTTTGCGTGGACGCATGCGTTCATGTGATGTCGTGTCTCCGGCTAATAGCCCGTCTTCACATCTTCCGCGAAAAAAATGAGCGTCTTCGTGTCTGCCTCCAGTCTTTGCCCAAAAATCGCGTCTGCCATGGTACTGTGGAGACGACAGGAAGCACAAAGACAAATGGCCTTGGACTGCGCAAGACAGATGGATGAATGATGTCAGTGGCCAAGAATTAGACAGACAAGTATATCTTTGGACAGATATCTCGTTGAAAAACCAAAACCAACGGTGCAGCATCCGCGCAGCTTGTATCATGTTCTGCATACACAACATGTTGTTCTCGACTCTTTAGATCTTTTGAGCCTATGGCAAGTCTGCGAATGTGCCGCAAGCAGCGACACTCGCTCTTATGTGCGAACGGCTGCATTCGGTAATATTTGTATTGCAATTCTGTTTCGAAGTCACTCTATGCCAATGTCTCAAAATTTACCAAGGGATCGGGGCCGTGGCCCTGGGCTCGCAAAGCATGCCGTGTAGACAAACATAACAGGAAGTTGTTCAGCAAATTGCACCTGTGAGGAGTTGCTGGTCGCAGGCAGCTTCAAGGCAGGCCCTGCCGGCATGGCCATGAAGCCTTCAGAAGCTCGAAACGCAGAGTTTAGCGACTGCCCCGCAGCACAGAAGCCAAGCCAGGATGCGAGTGCTGGAAGTGGAGTTGGTCGCTGCTGTAGTTGTAATAGACGTCACCGGGAATTGGCTCGTTGAGCTTATGGAGAAATGGACCGGCCGACTGGTAAACGACATTGGCATCATCTGGGCATGCAAAAGCACTCGGCTGAGCCCTTGAGGTGGAAAGCAATCCTAGAAGATGGTAGCAGGCCTAGGTCTCCTGAGGCCGGAACTGCCACATCAACCTGGCGCGAACACATGTTCCGTGCTAAACATGTCAATTCTGCTTCTTCCCTCAAGGCTCGGACTATGCGACAGGCAGAGCTCCTGCTTGCCCGCACCGAACGCCAAATATTGATAACACCCGATTTTCACTCAGGAATATCGTTGTACCAACGGGGTCCGACATATCCCATGTTCGTAGCCTTCACATAAACCAGTTGAGTTGTGGACGCTCAGCCATCGACACTTCCCCAAAGCCTGTCTCACTCTCAACGGCAGCTCACGAATCAATTACCAATCCGACTCTCTCAAACGAAGGTCACGGAGAGGGCCTCTTGTGCCTAGCTCGCCCGCGTTAACAGCGATGCGCCACGACGGATTTGCAATGTGATTTCCCATCGTTGCTGATGTCGAGATGAATCTGTCTGCAAAGCGGTTAACCCAGCAAACCAAGTCAAACTTTCCAACTGACCCGGTGATGCCCGGGAGCTTCCTGCAACTTCGGCCACAACAAATTTTCCTTTTCATTTCTACATACTAACTGTTACTAACCAGATATCATACATGATTATATTCTGCTATGCTCGCCTTCACCCACTTCGAAGCGATCAGAGTTTCTTACAGGAATCTCCTGTTTCCCCTCATAGTATTCCCCTCCCTACCGCCCTGATCTTGGCCCGCTGATTCCTCTGGACACATTCACAGGCCCCAAACCTAGGTGGTGAAGTTTCGTGTCCTCAAAATCTTGCGTTCCCCGCCCCGCCCCCCTCCCCACACACCACCTGCACCAATGCCAGTGGTGCCTCAAAGACAACCCTCTTCGCCTGCAGCCGGGCCGAGGCGGACGACGCGAAGCGTTCCCTCTCTCTCCATCTCGCCACCATTTTCACCCACACACTGACCAAGAGCAAGCATCACAATTCCATACTCTCGGAATTGTGAACTACTCGTTCCTTTTCGAAAGGCGGAACAGAAACAAAAAGTCCGATAAGAATGGCATCCAAGTGACAATCTCCAGCTCGTTCGCTGGGCTGTCAGCAGAGAGAAGTGTAGATCCATGCAGCAAGCTCCGTAGTTGGGCAAGACTCACATGCCTGGCCATCCTTGGCAGGAATCCTAGTTTTGAGTCGAAAGCCAAGTCTGCAGCGATGACCCAAAACTCTGCGCCCCAACCCAAATGCTGGAATGAATTCGACTGCAGCGTTGTCCCGTCTGGCAGAATCAGGACGCAGCTGGCCTGGCAGGAGGTACGACCTCGCAAAATGCGCGTGCTCAGGAAGTAAGAAGCAATGAAGGAGGCAGCAAGGGATCTAGGGAGGGAGGACAGTAAAGGAAGAAGTAGTTCCGAGATGATCAACTCCTCGGCCCTGGTCTGAGCGCTGCAACCAGTCCCCAACTGCCAATGAGAAATTACATGTAGCAAGCAAATGATCCAAACAACTGTGCAGAAGTACAGCAATGCTAAGATAGGGAATGGATACGCAACTGCACTTCGTAAAGCGATACGGAGCAAAGGATCTTCTAAGGACTTGGCCCAAAGGAATCAGGCTGACCTGCCACTGACTCACGGCTTGCAGCCCAAGCTTCCAACATGCAGAAAAAGCACGAAGGCCGGCACACAGATTTGGTTGTTTAACTGCTCAGTTCTGTCGGCCTCAGCTTCGTCGCCATCGAGGTTTCGAAAGTATCGAGGAGAGACTCCGCCAAAGGTAGACGCGAGATCCGCGGCATAAGCTGCTGAAAGGTCTTCTCGCCGCTTCTGGTCAAGGGCCTTCAGAGATACTCTGAAGTTGCAGCAGCGGAACACGCTGCTAGTTCACATGCCACATCTCCAACTACGACCGAGATCAGCAGAACATAAACCAAGCGTCTGCGCAGTCCAGATTGACGACCCTTAACTGCCAGAACTAAAGCAAGCTGCCAGCAAGCGGGTCGATGGAGGAAAGCCCAAGTCGGTGGAAACTGCTCCGAAATTCCGAAAATCCATAACACACCCTCACGTCAGCTCCAAGGAGCTGCCAGGAAATAGATACAGAAGCACCTCAAGCCACAAAGGACTGTGGCATTCGTAGTCACTTCGGGCCTTGACCCCTAGTCTTATCCACAGCAGCCAGGCCTGCACTGCAATCATCGCCACAATCCACACACATGGCTTTGCCCCTGCACTGTGCTTCCAATCGCAGTGCATCTTTCAATTTTAAGGAGTCGGCGAGCTCGCAGTTTATCGCTGACAGATTCTTTGAAGCTCACGCTGTTGGGCTGTCCATGCACACACTGGCCATTGACATGAGATCCGTTGCACTCAAGACCGTTAAGACAAGGATCACTGTGCCCGGCTGACGACTCCAGGTTCCAGCCTACAAGTGACTGCAAGCATCTGCAAGCTCAGGAATGCTGCGAACGCAGCACGCACAGGATCCCAAGGGCAGGCCGAGCTATGACAAGCCTCGCAGAGCTGACAAGTAGAGCTGCCAACGGAAGAACTGTAGTACCCAGGGCTGCAATAGCGACATGCGGAAGCCCCAGGTTCATCGGAGTAGTTCCCCACGGCGCAAGGCAAGCAGCTGGAGATGCCAACCTGCTGATCAAAGCTTCCAAGCCGAAGAACACAATCGGCAAACACGTGTGAACTGTGTCTGAACAAAACGAACAACTTATTTTTCCGGAATGCCTCAACAAATCAGAAACGACACCAGAGACCAGAGGGGCACGTCAAACAGGAATTCTTGAGAAGAGTTCAGGCAAGCAGAATCAGAGATCAGTAAGAAGTCCCCGAAACCTTGTACGGAGTGGAGAGTGGAACCGTGATCGGCAAGCCCTAAACCTAACGCTCAAATGTCCGGACTAGGGAGCAAAGATTCGGCCGAAATGGAAAAGGAGTGGATTGCCCAAGCGCGCAAATAACAAGATTGGAGCTGCACGGCGGGTTGCAGGGTAGGGCTTATGTAACGGATGCAAGCGAAGTGATCTCGCGCTCAGCAGCTTAAGAAAACGAATAGGCATAATAGGCATAATCACTATGGGAACCTGCCAATAGCCACCACGGAAATGGCATACGACTCATCGTTTTCTGATCAGTTTCAGGTGTGCTTTCCACGTTATTTGTTTGGATTTCCCACACGTGTCGTTGCCAAAATGGATTCTCGTTTTGCTATCTGTGCTGAAACTCACACATTAGTCATTGATTTGTAATTACTGCAATTTAATTAGCCGTTCAATCATGCCCTCTGGCATCGAGCATCCTCCATATCCCTTGGTCCTGGAGTCCTTCAGGAAGACATGAAGTTGCAAGCACCAAACATGTAAAGATGAGGACGTGACATTTTTTTCACTCCTGCCTGCGCTTGTACGGGCTGAAAGCGTCCGAGCGAGCAAAGCTTGCACGCATTACTGCTGTTGGCACCCAGGGGGCCGTCCCACCAGCGTCCCAACCTGCGAGTCCGCGAGCAGTGCATCATGCCCTTGCAGCATGCTGCCGCACAGGTGCTTAACGAATACTGTCTAGCACAAGCAGCACCATTCCAAAAAACAGGGCAGACTTTGCAGTGCATGACGGAAGCTGGACGGATATGAACTCGAAACGGGGAACAATGATCTTTACTACGCAACACGACCTACAGCCAAGCCTTGGCTACTTATGAATCCTTGGTACACATGCATACAGAGAAGATTGAACGAACCTATGCTTGCGACAACATTTGGTGAAACAATAAACATACCCATGCAACTCCAACGTAATCGTAGTTGTAGTCGTAGCAGTGTAGTCGTCGTCGTCGTGGTGGTAGTAATGGTGGTAGTGGTAATGGTAGTAACTGGTAGTCGTCGTAGTACGTAGTAGGGGTATTGATGGAGGAAATCCTGCACCAGTTTGAGTAGGCCAACAATGCGAGTACACAGCACCCCCTGTTTAACATCATGGAGCTTAGGTGCACTATGCTCCTACATCTCCTACCGGCGCGCCGCTTTTCCTGCCAATAGCCAATGTTGGATCAAGGCCTGAAAACAGCGGGAGCACGAACGTGATCTCAGCACGATCAGGTCGCAGCGCTCACAGAAGCTACTTCGTCATCCGTCTTCCTTTTTTTAGAGGACCTGAAGACCGTGATGAGTGCTGCTGCCGCTCTGTCCAGACTTTTCAAAAGTGCGTCCGTACGGTTGATCCCGCTCCAAGATCCTCCACACCCCTTTGCCGTAAGGGTCATGGAATCGCGGTTCCGGTCGTCTGAAGCGTTTAGTTCCATGCGAGACTTGGATGGCAAGTGCTTCCCGGCGGTGCCAGCCCTTCTGGGTCGGCAGTCCTTGAAGAAAGCCCAACACAGGGTCGTCAGCTTTGACTTCAGCACCGCTAAGCACTTCCGGACCAGCTTTCGTCGCCACTCGTCCTTTGACAGTCTGCTTCACAAACTCCAGGTTGCGGCGCAAGCTCCACGCAAACTTCGCCAAGGTCTCCCGCATATGGGAACTGTCCATGTCCTTCGTGCTGCAGTCAACGAAGCGGTTCTCCGTCGCCGTCCACTTCAGCCCGACGTTGCAGCGGGAAAGTAGTCCCCTGAGCCATGCTATCGTAAAAGCAAGACTCTTCTGAGAACCGTAAGACGGTGTATCCGAAGTTCCCTCGGGGGATCAGGTCCAAGATGCTCTCCACGTTCTTGTGGCCTAGTTTGCAGCCCAAGGTCTCAGCCACATGTCCACGGCAATACTGCCCAGCGTCGAGGCCCTCTTCCATGCCCAACAGCTCCGCCGCGAACGTCGAGCGACACACTCGTTGCAACCTGTGGCTGTAAGAATTCGGCCTTTGGAACCGTTGAGGAGGGAGCGTTCCGCAAGCAGCACACAGTACACGGTTTGAAAGAAGACCCGCTTCAGGGGCTTGTCGCCCACGTTGCCCTTCTTGGTCACATTCCCGAGGGAGGCGTCCGTGAGCACCAGGATCCCGGCCTCGCTCAGGTCAAGGGGCTTGAAATGGCTTGAAGGACAGGTTGAAGTCGGAGGTCGCCTTGAAGGCTTGACGAGGGCGTTGGCGCGGAGAGCCGTCGCCATCGTGCCACCATCGGCTTGAAGTACTGAAAGCTGGTGCCCCAAGTCGATGCGACTCTTAGCCACCACCACTGCAGAGACCCCACCGGAGCTCGAAGTTGCTTCGGTTGCCAGGGATGTAGAACGGCATCCATGTCCGGCGCCGAGAAGCAGCGATACGGATCGGCTGCAAAGTCTCGTGGTAGCATTACTAGCAGGAGTTTTTGTCACCCACCTGGCAGGCCTATGACAGCTGTGTGAGGTCTCGACTGGCAACGTAAGCTCGGATACATCACTGAGAGACCAACAGGACGCGGGGTAATCAATCACAATACGCTCACAGCAACGTATCCGAGAGAAAAGCGATCCTCGATTTGTTAAGGCTGGTAAGTTCCAATCTTCGTACCACTCCTATTGTAGTGGTGTAAGCATCTAAATTACCAGAAATACCACAGAGTTCACAAATCTGCCAATTGAGAGTAGTCGTCGTGGTAGTTGTGGTAGTTGTAGTAGTAGTCGTAGTAGTCGTCGTCGTCGTAGTATTAGTAGTAGTATTATTAGTAGTAGCAGTAGTAGTAGTAGTAGTAGTACTACTACTACTACTACTACTATTACTACTACTACTACTACTACTACTACCACTACTACTACTACTACTAGCCACCCCCCCCTCCTACCAACCACCTGGCGCCTCAATCCACGACCATCATCGGTCATCATCATCCATCATCATCCTTCATCATGCATCATAATCATCATGATCACCATCATCAACC